CATCAGGTTCCTCTCTGCCCAACTTTCCAGCCTATCCAGGTCACGCTGAATGGCAGCACAGCCTTCCAGTGTGTCTACCACACCTCCCGGTTTGGTGTCATCAGCAAACTTGCTGAGGGTACATTCTAACTCTTCATCCAGGTCATTGATGAAGAAGTTAAACAAGACTGGGCCCAGTACTGACCCCTGGGGGACACCACTTGTTACCAGCCTCCAACTAGACTCAGCGCCGCTGATGACAACCCTCTGAGTTCTGCCATTCAGCCAGTTCTCTATCCACTTCACCGACCAAATCAATATCAGTAAGCCTAAAGTTACAAAAGTTTGTTTTTTAGTTATTCTGAGGACATTGGCAAAAAAATCCTACATCCAATCTCTTCTTCAATCCTCCCCAGCCCTCATTGTAACCGTAATTTTTTCAGTCAGCTAATGACTGTTCTCTCTCCCATTGTTGGCATATATTGCCAATGTCTGTAGTAGGCTTCTTATCATTAAAGCTGACTTGTAACACATTCTTCTGTTAGCTTTGTAACAGCACCTGTTAAAAACACCAAACTATCTTTAGTTTGATCTATTCATGAAACACCATGAATAGTTCAGAAAGGCACTGCTTTCAGCTTATTTTTAGGCAGAAGCTTATTGCATGTTGAACATCTGTAACTTTGTAGAAGAATAAGAGGAAAGATAAAGTAGAACAAGTAGGAGTATTTAGAAGAAAAAAACATTTCAAGTATGTATAAAAATTCCTTTGACTGGACAGCAAAGCAGCAGGAAAGTAATTGGGAAGAGCTAGCACAGAATTAGCGAGGGTAGATTGTGCCCGAACAACTTGATTGCCTTCAGTGGTTAGGTGATTGTTTCTGTGGAGAGGAGAGCAGTAGATGTCATTTACCTTGATTTCAGCAAGGGCTTTGACATAATCTCCCATAATATTATTACAGACAAAATGTAGAGTTACAGACTGGATGGGTGAACCATAAGGTGACTGAAACACTGAATGGACAACTGGACTTAAAGGGAGTTGGTCCATAGCTCAATGTCTTACTGGTGCCTGATTGTTAGTCATATTCCTTAGGGGTTGGTAGTAGGGTTGTGTCTTGTATTAATTCTTTGAACATTGAACAAAATATTGTAAGTTCGCAAATGGCACCAAACTGGGGAGGAATGGTCACTGCGCTGGAGGGTAGGGCTGCTATTGAGAGACCGTGACCAACTGAAGGAATGGAACAACAGAAACCTCGTGAAGTTTACTGAAAACAAATGCGAAGTCCTGCATGTGGGACTGCATAACCTTATGCAGGCTGAGAGTCACTTGTCGAGGAATCAACTAGAGAGCGTCCAACAAAGGGCCATGAAGCCAATTGATGGACTGGAGGATCTCTGCTGTGAGGAAAGCCTGAGAGAGCTGGGACTGTTGAGCCTGGAGAAGAGAAGGCTCAGGGGGGATCTTATCAGTATATATCAATACCTGAAGGGAGAGTGCAAAGAAGACAGAGCCAGGCTGTTTTCAGTGGTGCCCAGTGACAGGAGAAGAGGCAGTGGGCACAAACTGAAACATGCGAGGTTTCGTCTTAACATCAGGAAACATCTTTTTGTTGTGAGGGTGACCAAGGACTGGAACGGGTTGCCCAGAGAGGTTGTGAAGTCTCCGTCCTTGGAGATACTTAAAAGCCATGTGGACATGGTCCTGGGCAGCTGGCTTTGAGTGACCCTGCTTGAGCAGGGGGTTGGACCAAACGACCTCTAGAGGTCACTTCTAACCTCAGTCATTGTGTGAAATGGCTTTGGAGAAAAGAAGGTGGAGGTCCTACTGGAAAAAAACAGTTGAATGGGAGTCAGCAATGCACTCTTGCAACAGTAAAACCTAGCTGAATACTGGGCTGCATTAGTAACAGTGAAGTAGGCAAATCAAGGAAAGTTATTATCATCCTCTCTGACATTTTTGAGGCTACATTTGGAGTACTGTGTTCAGTTTTGGGTTCCCCAGTACAAGAAAGTCTGTAAAATACTGAAGCAATTCTAGCGAAGGTTGCTACAAAAGAAGTATGTGTACCTATGGCATTTTGCATGTGGTCAGTGTGTGTGGTGCAACTGGGGTTTTCAACATCTTGTTTGTTAGGTACAGAAGCTGTACACATACACAGAGAAAGATGATTTACATCTGTTGCAGATACTGTGTTCATCTGCTCGTATTCTTTAAATAATTCAAATTTAAAATACATGCGTGAATAGCTCGCAGCATGCCTACAGTATGCACCAGGCTTTTATCCAGTATGTGCAGATGCCCACAGCCTTGAACAGACTTCATCTGGTTGTTCATTGTGAGATTCAGAAATTACAAGTGGCTGAATTCTTGGTTTTCTGCTCAGAAATCCAAATGTGTGGTAGACTTACTTATAAAATACTAAGATCAGCTGGAGATGGAAGTTTTGAGAATCTACAGCAACTGTAAAGGTTGTCTTAATGGCAAGTCTACGGTTCACTTGATCGCAGTCGAAATTTGATCAGGATACCAGGGGGAGTAAGTGGAGCATCCATCTGTACTTTGCTGCAAACCTTGCCACTGGAGGTTTCCTTGCCTTTGAATGAAGGCTGAATCAAATCTCTAGCTAGATCTTTTGGTGACGTTACTGTTAAGGGGCCGTTGTTTTGGCTGAGGTCCCTGATTTCTTGTGCCATGTTTTAAAATAAGAGTGCCAGCTGGAGAAATTTAAATTCACTT